AGAGGTTGGAGAGCCCAAGTTGAGTACCGTTCAACCCACTCCAAGACATTCAACCAAGTGAGTCAACCAAAGATGTACAGAACTTCTAACAATTGGTGTCAGGAGGTGAAATCCCAAAACTTACACAAGAAACACGTGATCCTTTGGTTACGAAACAAAAAAAAGGTAGGTATTGGAAGCCACCCACCACGGATGGTTTGAAGTAAAAAGGTCACTTCTGTGCAAAGAAAGGAAAAATGCTGACGAAGGCAAAAGGTTACAAACCTTGATGTCTTTCGTTGCCTTTAACCCATATCCCTCTTCAGAGAAATAAGTGACTTCAAACCCTTCGGTCGAGGCTCCACAGTCAGCTCCCCACTCCATTAATTCAGCAAAGTGGTCTTCTCGGTTCCCATCAAAGACCACTGATAATCCTAGAAACAGTTGCAAACAAAATAATTTAGGAACCAGGAGAGAAATCCACATCGGAACAAAATACTCTAGTTCCGCATGAACTAGAATAAATAAGATGAAGAATAACAGATCAGATAACGGAACAACAAATACGATGACAAAGCTTCAGACAATGTTAAAGTGACCAGTACTAAAGCCACCTGTGGATATACAGTATAGGACTATAGTACAAGCTAGGATATCACCCTACAAAGAAAAGTCAGCTTGTCAAGGATCAGTGTATGACAAGTCTCCCGCCTCACCCTAAAATAGAAAACAATAAAGGTTTCTCAGAAACGTTCCAAAGCAACGTATCGCATGAGGATGACAGAATGTTGATAAACTGCTCTACTTTCATGAAATACAATGACACCCAATCCCTCAGTGTGTTACTGTTCCCCTCCCTTCGGAACTCCCAGGAGGTAATAATCCCTCCAAACAAAAACACACACAATAATGTGGTCACTCAATCCACGACTGTTTGTGGGACACCACTGTGCACGATTGGCTGCTGCATTTCGCCCACAAAATACAGTCACTACTTTACGGTATATCCTGCAAAGTGCTTTGAGACGTCTCAACAACGTGATATGGTGATATATCAAATGCAAGGACTATTATTGTTATTAACATCTTGGTTACATTACTGGTAATTGAATCTGGCAGTGATACAAAACTATGAAGCAAGAATGGTTTGAAAGTGAAAATCAGCCATCAAATAAATACCTTTTTGCTTTTTACGTATTTTCTCTACCAGACCTCGGATCTGTACATATTCTTCCCATTCTTTTCCTGGTGCTGTTGATGGGTTACTGCATTCTTCAAAAGAGAAAAATGAAACCATTACATACTGTAAATATATACTCCATTATAAGGGCAGTTTAAGTCAAATGTGTTACAGTGGGTTAGGACATAGTTTCTTAGGAGACCTGGATTCAGATTCAGACCAGAGTGCTGGGCAGGATCTCTGAGTAAGCAGCAATGGTCATAAATCATTATTTTAACCCTCAATGTCCTCTTTCTTAAAGAATAATAATTTGAATCTTCCTTTATTTCACTATGAGTCAGGGAGAGAGGTACGAAGAAGGTCTTCAGTTCTTTCCCCAAATCCCTTTGCATTGCTCATTCTCTCTTTGCCTTTACTTGACTATGCCTTTGGTCATCCCCTTCAAGCTCTCCCTCTTTTCCTCTCAGCCAGGTCATCCCCATAGTCACTTTGAAATGTTCATCCTACATGAAAGGTGCGATCGATCCTAAGTGCAAATTACTACTGCTGTAGAGGAGCATTACACAGTACTCCCAGCTACATGTGGATCTCATCCTCTTCAGCTGATCTGGTACAGACAGTGGCTGCTGCTGTGAAGAGGACTCCAGCTCCTCTCTGTATATACTGTTCACTGCATCATTTCCACAGCTGTACACATTCTTCACCAAAATGTCAACAAAACCTGTACGCCAGGCAGACTGGCTCGATTTCAGCCCGACTGGTGCTCAATCATCACCCAGAAGGGCACAAGAAGGGACATTGCTGTGCGCAATTGGCTGCCGCGTTCACCCACAAATATACAGTCAAATTCTTTACAGTGTTACCCTGTGAAGCGTTTGGGACGTCCTCGAGTGAGAAAGCGCTATACAAATGCAAGGATGATTATTTATTATTATTAAGATTCCAGGCAGATATCTCAGTCTGCATTCTCTGGCAGTGCCCATTGCTTCTGATTCCAAGCTATAAGACTGGGTTGTAGCCACTCTGAGAAACAAGCAGCACTTGAAATGAGTCTATAGCTCCATTGGAGTTGTACCATTAATCAAAGGAACAGCAATGACTCACATATTTCACAGAAAACTCACCAGGTTGGATAAATGATCAAGATTAATCATGGCTCCAAAATCAACAGTTGAAAATAGCGGATACAACAAATGTGGTTTAGAAAATAGGAAAGTCTAGATTAGTGCGTTTGGCAAATGTGAGTTTATTGAAATGGTCTTTTGTAATAAAAAAAACACTAAATAAAATTGAAAATTATAGCCTTGGTCTGGCTCTGTACTTATTCTTAACCAGCCACTTAGACTCTGTTCCAAATACCACTGTTGACACAGCCCAAACCACTGACATTTAGTATGCCTTTGGGCTTTAACTTGAAACCAAACACAAATACCCAAATTAAGTAAGACAAAGTGTGACTGCATGGTTTATTGATGCAACGAGGCAACCATGCAATTTTTGGAACATTAACTGAACTGGCTGATAAAGATTCCCTTTGGAGGTGGTTTTATATCCAAATACTACAACCAGTATGTAAAGCAGGATCTTTAATCAATGAGGAGAGATGGGGTTGAGCAATCTTGTTGGCAATAATTCTTGGGCATCTGCCAAATTTGATTGGTGGAAGCACAATTGTGCTTTATGTTATTTAATTGTGTACAGGGACAAATGATTGCAAAGCAGGTGTGTCGGAGCTCTGTCCTGGCCAACAATCCTCCCAATAAAATTGGTCATTCACTTTGTGGCTGTTTGCGGGACACTGTTGTGTGCAAATTGGCTGCCGTGTTCGCCTACAACATGTAGAGTTACTATAGTGCCTTGGTACGTCCTCCCTACGTGAAAGGCGCTATACAAATGTAATTTTGTATTGTATTGATTATTGGCACTATATCAAATACAAGGATTACCATTATCTTGTAACGAAACCAGAAACACGAATATTTAAGTGTGCTGCTTTGAAGGGATTAGTGGTCAATGTTTCTTCTCACTCGTTCCTAAACCAGATTATTCTTTCACAGGAAGTTCATGAAGAAAATATAAAACTGGTTATTCAACTACCTGCAGCTTAGCCTGAAAATACTTAATGACCAGGTTTAAACTGGGACTGGGGCAAGACTGCGATGCTTCATTCAAAATCCCTTTGAAACTCTTGTAGGTCAAGGATAAGGGTGTGTTGTGGGGTGTGTGTGTGCGCAGCAGAGATGTGCTGGAATCTACAAATCTGCTTCTGAACCCCACAGCTCCTTCTTGTGGTCAGACTGTGGCACTGCCTCCACAGAGCAGCATAAAAGCAGTTGGGGATGTATGTATGTATGTGGGGTTGGGGGGGCAATGATACATTAGGGTCATAATAAAAGGGTGCAGACAGGAGGGGGTTAATGTAGTCTCTCAAATTCCACCCCTGGCTGCTCACTCGCACTGGGCTGGAGTAGCCGGGTCTGATTAACGGTGCAGCCGCACAGGCTTCAGACAGTGAACATGGCTCTGGGTAGTGAGGAGCAGCTTCACTGCCGTCCTGGTTCTCAGAGCCCAGCAACTTCTCCCGCAAGGTGCAAGCATGACATCGTCCAACACCTCAGACTGCTCTGGCGCACTGTTGACTCAATCTTTAAGACCATGAAAGGGGTTTGGAAAATTCCCAAATTCAATCTCAATTTGGATGCTGTTTGTCAACGACGACAGATACAACAACAACAACAACGTGCATTTGTACAGCACCCTTCACGTGGGGTAGTGTCCCAGAGCGCTTCAGGCCAACCGCCCGGGTGCTTGTCCTCCCTGTGATGCCCAGAGCACTACATAGAGAAGACTTTTGCACCCGTCAACCTCAACTGCTTTCATTCCACCCTTTCCCATTAACCATTTCACATGCGATTTGTCATCCACTTTCACGAGACCAGAGAAATGAAACACATTGAGCTCTGCACTGGAGTGTTAGCCAAGATTCTGACCTCACATCCTGGTGCGGGCCTCGAATGAGGATATTCTCACCCAGAGAAAAATAAGAGTAACATCCACTGTTAAACAGGCAGTTTAACAATCATCTGAAAGGCGGCACAACTCCAGCAAATCAAAATACTGCCCTCAAGTATCAGCCTAGACTAGGAGATCACAACCTTCTGATCCTGAGGCGCGAGAGCGAAGCCAAGCCAAAACTGTCCAGCAAGACATTAATAGCCAAACTCACAAAGATCTCAGTTCGTGCACCAGTTTTGCGCTGCTCACCTTGTGTATTACTATGCAGAGCACCTATTGCCTCCAAGTTTATTATTACTACTTCATTAATTGGCCTTGTAAAGTCCCCTAACGACACGCAAACTGGTTAATTGAATTAGAAAATACTGGATTCAGGTGATTTCACTGTTGGCTTGCTAGAAATTACGCCTGGTAATTGTGTTATATTCTAAACTACGTGCAGTCACTGAAGGCAGAAATGGAGACAGGCCAGTGATTCCCCCGAGCCCAGGAACACCAAAATTGAAAATACAGATGTCTCCACATGTCGTTTGACCTTGACTGGCTGATGGCACTTATGATTTCCCTGTATAATCCCACTCCCATGCCAAAGCAATATAAAAAGCAGCAGCCTGATGAAACTCTTTAGGCGTATCAGAAATAAAATCAAACGGGAGTCACTTTGTCTATCTTCACGTTTGTGTGTGCCCTCCACGCAATGTCAAATGGCTGGATGTCAAGTCTTCCAAAATGTCCATCCAGTCAATCATTAGCAAACCCAACGGTTAAAACACTTGCTGATGAACTTATCCTAAACGAAAAAGAATGTGCAGCAAGGTAAGCTCACCTGGATAAGCTTGTAGAAGTAAGCGTACTGGCGAGCAGTGTTTTTGTATTGGCTGAAGACATCGTGGATAGCTTGGGTCGATTGAAGGTAATGCACCTCTTCCTCTTCAAAATACAAGGGGGTGTGGTACTCAGCAGGTAACGTCTTAATGTAAGGGAGCCAGAAAGAATTGGGAGTGGAACGTTCACACAGCAGATGGAAAGCAAGGGTAATGTTGCCCATAGCTTGCAGAATCCGGTCTTGAGCATAGATGAGACCTGAATGTAAAACAACAAAAACTGTATGTTGGCATTGCTAAACTAAGGGAAAAAAGAAGAATAAATACTCGCATTCCATCACCAAAATGGAAATACGTGAACTTACATGAGAAATGACCAATCTCATTAAAAATCTTTTAAGGTTGAAAATGCTCAGCAAGAACCTTCATTTCTGTTGAGAGATATAATGTTCCCAAGCTCAATAGGGTCCGCCAATAGAGGTGTTTAATCCCAGACATAGGTTCACCTTATTTGCTACAAAATACACATCACTATGCTTTACAATGCATCCTGTGAGTGCTCCAAGACGTCCTTCTGATGTGAAAGGCACTATATCAAATGCAAGGATCATTTGTTTAGTTAACCACAGCATCCGGAAAGTTTAAAAGGACTTGCACCTATTTACCACTCTTCGTGAGGATGATCGGATCAAAAATGCTTCACAAAGTTAATGGGGCTCTCTGAGCAGGGAGAGAAGGAAAGAGAGTTTGAGGGTGTTGACCAAGGGTACAGTCAAGCAGATACGTTCTTGAGAGGGTTTTGAAGGCAGTACACGCAAAAAAGGGAAGATTTGGTTTTAATAGTGATGCTATAGATTCAGGATTTTGAGTAATGAGCTTTTGTACGAGGCAAAGTCAAGACTTCACAAATGATCTGGCATGGCTGTTCTCTTAAAAAGGAAATACTTATTGATATCCCTAAAGATCACAGCATAATGAAGCCAGGAAACATTATTCCTGCTTACTCCCATCGGGAACCTATCACTTCCGTTCGCAGAAAGCCATCAGCAGTCTGACACATAATGTCTTGCGGCCAACACCAGAATGTTGCTTTTGCTTACGGGAAGGGTGAGAACACGTTTAAATAATCCTAGCGCAAGCTTCAGTGAAGACGGGACAAACGATTATTGTGACACAGGTTCAAAGCCTGGTGATAAACCTTTACACTGGCTAAACAAAGTTGCTCTTAACAGGCCTCTGCTGTACTATTATTCGTTTCATGTACGGACTAATAACTTCCCATCACAAAAATGGGCATCCGCTCAGATTTAGAGGACATCTGAATAACCGTCCGGAATTTACAGAGCTGACTTCTGAAGTCTTGAGTCCCATGGCTGACCACCGTCAAAATAAAAACTGTTTTCACTGAGTTTGTGTCTAAATTGGTCATTTGACTCAGAGATGCCACATGGATGAGAATATGATAATAATTTTTGCATTTGATAAAGCGCCTTATCACATCATTGAGACGACTCAAAGCGCTTCACAGGATATAATGTAATGTTAGTTGATTGTGGGCAAAACGCAGTGCACAGCAGTATCCCACAAAACAGTGGTGGATCGAGTGATCAATTTTTTTTACGTAAAAGATTATTACCCCCAGAAAGTGATCCGCCAATCAACTAACACCCAATTTCTTAATTACTGCTAGGTAAACAGAGGCGTGTGGAGTAAGGAAACTTGCCCAACATTTTGCCTTGTTCTGCCGGGAATCGAACCCGCGTCCTCTCATTTCTGAGGCGAGCGTGCTAACCACTGAGCTACAGGACATCACAAATTTATGCTGATGCTGTAGACCACAGTGTTCAATAGTTGGGTATCTGACCTTGCTGCTCTAGGTTGGCTAGACCCGCAGCGATGTACCTTTGGAGCCCTCCAATACTTAGTATAAAACCAAGCAACATAGCTATTACAGCACTCAAGGTGGCAAACACATAAAATCCAATCACCCAAAAAACACAAAGAAGGGAGTTTATTGGGAATGAAAGCCGTTTGATTCTCAAATGGCTTGTATTTGTGAAACAATTTTTAAAAATTACTAAAGTGAACAACAGGCCATTGCATGTTAATGAACAACCTACACCTGGCAAAACCGTTACTCACCAAGTATAGAATTTTTAGCAGATTCAACAGTCATCAGCATTTTTCGGGGGATCCAGAGAAAGAGTTCTTCTGCCTAAAAGGCACACACAAACAAGTTACCACCATCTTCTCTGATCCAAGCACATAATAGCAATGAATATAAAGTTCAGAGCAAAGACTCAACGTCAATGGTTTAGTCAGCAACATGCAATCAATTCTCAGTAAAATGATGCGACTCAACATATAAAAGCGATGAAAGAATCCCGGGAAGCTGAAGGCAATAATTACTGCCATTTTGTTTTAATATTTAAAAAAAGTATTAGTGATCTACATCTTTGTCAATTTACAGTTAGAAGAATAATAAAAAGGGTTAATTCAATGAAGGAGAACCAATAAAGCTACAAGTCCTGGAGAAAAGAGACAGGAAAGGAGCGACTGACAATAAACCAAACTTAGCTAAGTAATTATACTTGGGCAACATTTTAATTAGATACTTAAGCAAATGTTGGTTACAATATTTTCCTAGTTAATTTTAGTTGAAACAAATGGTAATAAGGAAACAACATTGTACAGGCGTAATGGGATCTAATTGCATCAAATTAGGACAATTTAGTCCTGACCTAATGAAACTGACTTTTAGTAAATAAACTGAGGTTGAGTGCAAACTTTATTAGTCAATTTGAATGTAATGTTAGCATTTGAATCAATTGAGGAAAAATGAACGACTCCGGGCTTGTTCCAGTCACTTATTATTTCTCAATACAAAGCAGCAGCAACAAAATATTGCTGGTACAACCATGGCTGATCAGTTTTTCCCATTTCTTTGGAAAAAAAACAAATGTTGATTTTATGAAATGGGTTGCATGCTTGGGCAGGTTAAGTTTCATTCTGAAAGACAGCCAACATTTTCACACCGTCAGGATGACTGGATGCTGAAGCTGCTGAAAGCTCTGCAATCCCAGTCCATCCCGGCAATTTTTGTAGCCGTATAAGTGCTAAGGACGTCCTGTAGTACAGTGGTGAGAACACTCGCCTCGCAAGCGAGAGGACCTGGGATCAATTCCCGGGAAGGGTGAGTTTCCTTACTCCACACGCCTCTGTTTACCTAGCAGTAAGTAGGTACCTGGTTGTTGGTCGATTTGCAGAGAGCTTTCCGGGGGTTATAAAACCCCCCCCAAAAAAGGTCACTTAATCCATGACTGTTTGTGGGACACTGCTGCGCGTATTTGGCTGTTGGTTTCGCTCCCAAAGCATACAGTCACTACACTTAACAATATATTCTGTAAAGCTCTTTGAGAAGTCTCAATTATGTGATCAGTGACTAAATCAAATGTCAAGGATTATTATTGTCATTAAAACATTTCTTCACACAAAGAGGGTTGTGAAAATATGCATTAAAATGAATGTGGATCCCATTCCAATACATGGGAATTTCCACGTGGAGGTGAGATGCCTGGAACTCAGCTTGGTCTGGATACTCTTAAGAATGGTGATGCGTCACCATGTTTGTTATTTAGACTAGATGCATAGACATAATTGTAATAAATTAAAATTTGTCCATCAATTCAGCACCATGCGTCAACCCCCCGACTGACCCCAAAAAATGAAAATATGGAATACAATAATAATCCTTGCTTTCGTACAGCTTCTTTCACGTCGAGAAGACACCTCAAAATGATTCACAAGAATTACCACAAAGTGTTATGTCTGTATTTTGTAGACGAGAGTTGCTGGAGAAGGAAAAACATCTATAATAAACTGGCAGCATTTAAATGCTAAAAATAACCACAATTTGGCACAGTTTGACAGCATTGAAAGCCTCACAAAAAACATTTGCTGCTGAATTGATGGACAAATTCAAATTTATTACAATTACATCTGTGTATCCAGTCTAACAAACAACTACTTGTTTTCAGCATCAATGTTCCCTTAGAACCAGCGAGTAATTAAAAAAGGGAACATCACTCGAGTCCAACAACAAACATGGCTACAGCGATTGACAAAAGAAACGCAGCCGAGATTATAAGTAAATGAAGCCACATTGTCAGGAGGTTCCAGCTTCCCAGCTCATTTGCTGATTTAATGCAGAGTTGCCAAGTTACAGCAATTCATTTGATTAAACATTGGGCAAGGAAAGCTGTAACCTAACCTGCCTCAGCCTTGTGCCCACTTTGCAAAACATTCTCAATGCTAGGATCTCAAGACTCCTATTCACATATCTCATTGGTTGTGCTCAACAGTGTGAAATCCATGAACTTTTTAAAAAAATACAACAAAAAATTGAGTAGAAAAATATAATTAGAAGCAAAAAAAATCAACAAATGTTCGGAAAATAAGTCAATTAATGCAGTGTTCAGGTGTACTGCTGCAGCAAAGTAGTTGAAGCGTTACTGTGTGAGAGGAGATATATAAATAAGAGTGGTAGTTGTTGCTCTTGGTGGAGCTATACATGACGTGGGATTGCTCTAGTTCCATCCCCCTGCACTGGGGATACACATTCCTTCACTTTTGCCCATTGTAAAAAAAACTCACCACATCTGTCGAGTTCCCCTTTTTAAGAATTTATGGTCTTTCCCCCCCACCCCCTGTCAGCCGGGTGTCATTCCAAAGAGTACTTTGGTGCAGGTTGGAAAGAGCCAAAGCTTAGGGGACCCCAGAGTGTGAGCTTAACCAGCTAAAAGCACAAAAAGGAAACCTAGAAAAAAATTTATGGCCTCCGGTTAGGAAATGACAACACCATTATTTTCTCCCCACGTTTGCAAGTTGGGATAAACAAATCCAAGGAAGATTTACTTTCAAAGCTACATCTTGATGTGGTGTAATAAAAGCCACTGGTGGTATAAAGAGCCACTGCTATTCACAGCAGCCGGGATCACTCCATTCTTTTGTGGTTTGGCTCAGTGTCAAGTTTGTTTATTGGTAAACCAGATTCCTCAGCCAACTGCAACAAATCCCCGTCAGCCTTGAAGTTAATTCCTTGTTTGAATCTTCACTGAAACTCCAAATCGAGTACATTTTCGATTTAATCCTGTTAGTCAGTATGATGTTTGGTGCAATAATGTAATCATACCCTTGAGGAAAGTAGGACAGGGGAGGGGACATCATTTTGATTGATCTTAAAACAATCAGAAAAGGTTTGCGTTATTCAGAAAAAGGTTTGCCAAAAGGTTTCAGCATATGAGGCCATTAGACTGGTTCAAATAAATCTACTTCCTTTGTTCCCCTGACGGAGCAGCTGATGTCTCTGAGGTGCTGCACACAATAACTCAGCTGAGAGCTAAAATAAATTCTGCCCAATTGCAGGAATCGCCAGCTCTAAGGCTCAAGTATACAATCTTTCTAGTTGGGGGACAATATTTTGTGATGTATTCTCCACTGTTCAGACCCCCCATATATATATACATATATATATATATATAGACACACGCACGCACACACGCACACACAAAATATGTGTCTTTGGTCCTTAGTTAAGATAGGACTGAGTTCGTCAGGAAATGTTTTTTTGGTTCCTATTCCCTCGCTCTCTCTACAAGAGAGCCATTCATCTTCACACAACCGTCTTCAGATAGAGGGTGGAAAGGAAAGAGTTCCTGCCATAAACCTTTCTGAGAACATTCCACCCTGACACCAACACAAGACATGTTTGCCGCAACATAATAGTTTATCACGCTCTGATCATGCAAAGCTGATCTTTGCATTTGATGTAGCACCGTTCACGTGGGGAGGAAGTCTCAAAATGCTTCACAGGGTTTATACAGTCTAGTGACCGTTCTTTGGAGGCAAACAGAATAGGAAATCTAATTGTGAACACATAATAAAAAGATTGTTAGCAATAAGAGGTTGGAGAGCCCAAGTTGAGTACCGTTCAACCCACTCCAAGACATTCAACCAAGTGAGTCAACCAAAGATGTACAGAACTTCTAACAATTGGTGTCAGGAGGTGAAATCCCAAAACTTACACAAGAAACACGTGATCCTTTGGTTACGAAACAAAAAAAAGGTAGGTATTGGAAGCCACCCACCACGGATGGTTTGAAGTAAAAAGGTCACTTCTGTGCAAAGAAAGGAAAAATGCTGACGAAGGCAAAAGGTTACAAACCTTGATGTCTTTCGTTGCCTTTAACCCATATCCCTCTTCAGAGAAATAAGTGACTTCAAACCCTTCGGTCGAGGCTCCACAGTCAGCTCCCCACTCCATTAATTCAGCAAAGTGGTCTTCTCGGTTCCCATCAAAGACCACTGATAATCCTAGAAACAGTTGCAAACAAAATAATTTAGGAACCAGGAGAGAAATCCACATCGGAACAAAATACTCTAGTTCCGCATGAACTAGAATAAATAAGATGAAGAATAACAGATCAGATAACGGAACAACAAATACGATGACAAAGCTTCAGACAATGTTAAAGTGACCAGTACTAAAGCCACCTGTGGATATACAGTATAGGACTATAGTACAAGCTAGGATATCACCCTACAAAGAAAAGTCAGCTTGTCAAGGATCAGTGTATGACAAGTCTCCCGCCTCACCCTAAAATAGAAAACAATAAAGGTTTCTCAGAAACGTTCCAAAGCAACGTATCGCATGAGGATGACAGAATGTTGATAAACTGCTCTACTTTCATGAAATACAATGACACCCAATCCCTCAGTGTGTTACTGTTCCCCTCCCTTCGGAACTCCCAGGAGGTAATAATCCCTCCAAACAAAAACACACACAATAATGTGGTCACTCAATCCACGACTGTTTGTGGGACACCACTGTGCACGATTGGCTGCTGCATTTCGCCCACAAAATACAGTCACTACTTTACGGTATATCCTGCAAAGTGCTTTGAGACGTCTCAACAACGTGATATGGTGATATATCAAATGCAAGGACTATTATTGTTATTAACATCTTGGTTACATTACTGGTAATTGAATCTGGCAGTGATACAAAACTATGAAGCAAGAATGGTTTGAAAGTGAAAATCAGCCATCAAATAAATACCTTTTTGCTTTTTACGTATTTTCTCTACCAGACCTCGGATCTGTACATATTCTTCCCATTCTTTTCCTGGTGCTGTTGATGGGTTACTGCATTCTTCAAAAGAGAAAAATGAAACCATTACATACTGTAAATATATACTCCATTATAAGGGCAGTTTAAGTCAAATGTGTTACAGTGGGTTAGGACATAGTTTCTTAGGAGACCTGGATTCAGATTCAGACCAGAGTGCTGGGCAGGATCTCTGAGTAAGCAGCAATGGTCATAAATCATTATTTTAACCCTCAATGTCCTCTTTCTTAAAGAATAATAATTTGAATCTTCCTTTATTTCACTGTGAGTCAGGGAGAGAGGTACGAAGAAGGTCTTCAGTTCTTTCCCCAAATCCCTTTGCATTGCTCATTCTCTCTTTGCCTTTACTTGACTATGCCTTTGGTCATCCCCATAGTCACTTTGAAATGTTCATCCTACATGAAAGGTGCGATCGATCCTAAGTGCAAATTACTACTGCTGTAGAGGAGCATTACACAGTACTCCCAGCTACATGTGGATCTCATCCTCTTCAGCTGATCTGGTACAGACAGTGGCTGCTGCTGTGAAGAGGACTCCAGCTCCTCTCTGTATATACTGTTCACTGCATCATTTCCACAGCTGTACACATTCTTCACCAAAATGTCAACAAAACCTGTACGCCAGGCAGACTGGCTCGATTTCAGCCCGACTGGTGCTCAATCATCACCCAGAAGGGCACAAGAAGGGACATTGCTGTGCGCAATTGGCTGCCGCGTTCACCCACAAATATACAGTCAATTCACTTTACAGTGTGTTCTGTGAAGCGCTTTGGGACGTCCTCCCGACGTGAAAAGCGCTATAGCAAATGCAAGGATTATTATTATTAAGATTCCAGGCAGATATCTCAGTCTGCATTCTCTGGCAGTGCCCATTGCTTCTGATTCCAAGCTATAAGACTGGGTTGTAGCCACTCTGAGAAACAAGCAGCACTTGAAATGAGTCTATAGCTCCATTGGAGTTGTACCATTAATCAAAGGAACAGCAATGACTCACATATTTCACAGAAAACTCACCAGGTTGGATAAATGATCAAGATTAATCATGGCTCCAAAATCAACAGTTGAAAATAGCGGATACAACAAATGTGGTTTAGAAAATAGGAAAGTCTAGATTAGTGCGTTTGGCAAATGTGAGTTTATTGAAATGGTCTTTTGTAATAAAAAAAACACTAAATAAAATTGAAAATTATAGCCTTGGTCTGGCTCTGTACTTATTCTTAACCAGCCACTTAGACTCTGTTCCAAATACCACTGTTGACACAGCCCAAACCACTGACATTTAGTATGCCTTTGGGCTTTAACTTGAAACCAAACACAAATACCCAAATTAAGTAAGACAAAGTGTGACTGCATGGTTTATTGATGCAACGAGGCAACCATGCAATTTTTGGAACATTAACTGAACTGGCTGATAAAGATTCCCTTTGGAGGTGGTTTTATATCCAAATACTACAACCAGTATGTAAAGCAGGATCTTTAATCAATGAGGAGAGATGGGGTTGAGCAATCTTGTTGGCAATAATTCTTGGGCATCTGCCAAATTTGATTGGTGGAAGCACAATTGTGCTTTATGTTATTTAATTGTGTACAGGGACAAATGATTGCAAAGCAGGTGTGTCGGAGCTCTGTCCTGGCCAACAATCCTCCCAATAAAATTGGTCATTCACTTTGTGGCTGTTTGCGGGACACTGTTGTGTGCAAATTGGCTGCCGTGTTCGCCTACAACATGTAGAGTTACTATAGTGCCTTGGTACGTCCTCCCTACGTGAAAGGCGCTATACAAATGTAATTTTGTATTGTATTGATTATTGGCACTATATCAAATACAAGGATTACCATTATCTTGTAACGAAACCAGCAAACACGAATATTTAAGTGTGCTGCTTTGAAGGGATTAGTGGTCAATGTTTCTTCTCACTCGTTCGCTAAACCAGATTATTCTTTCACAGGAAGTTCATGAAGAAAATATAAAACTGGTTATTCAACTACCTGCAGCTTAGCCTGAAAATACTTAATGACCAGGTTTAAACTGGGACTGGGGCAAGACTGCGATGCTTCATTCAAAATCCCTTTGAAACTCTTGTAGGTCAAGGATAATAATAATAATAATAATCCTTGCATTTGATATAGCGCTTTTCACGTCGGGAGGACGTCCCAAAGCGCTTCACAGAACACACTGTAAAGTGAATTGACCGTATATTTGTGGGCGAACGCGGCAGCCAATTGCGCACAGCAATGTCCCACAAACAGTCGTAGATTGAAAATGACCAATTTATTATTGTTTTTGGTTTTGGAGGATTATTATTAGGCTCTGTGTGGAGTAAGGAAACTTGCCCAAGGTTTCGCCCTCTGCCTGGAATTGAACTCAGGTCTCTCACTTGCAAAGCGAGTGCTCCAACCACTGAGCTACAGGACTCCAAGGATCAAAATGAGGATCAAAAGCTCATTACCCAAACCACAGTTTTTGTTCCAATTCTTAATGAAGTAGAGTTCCAACCCAATGTAAACCACAGATGAACCATAGACAAGACCTCGGTTTAGACACCTCACCCGAAGATTGGCAATTTCAACAATGTCGCAGTCCCTCAGATATGTGCTGTATTATGACCTCAATTCCTGGTGGAGAGAAGTCTATACTAACGACTGAAACAAACACAAACACACACACACACAGGAACTTACTCTGAAGCAGCTCGGTTATCAGATTCATTATTTCCTTTGTAGAAATGGCTGATGTTGCTCCACCTCCCGATTTCTGTGTTTTCACTCTGCTCTTTTTACCCATCGCTTTACTGAAAAAAATACACAAAAGCCTCCTTTCAAGGTCTGTCTCAAGTCCTTCCTCTTTGACTGCACCTTAGGTCATCTTTCTAGCTTTCTCCCCCTGCCCCCTCCCCACACCCGTTGCAAATCCAACCTCCAGCTCAGGTGCAAACCCCCAACTGTTCAGCGCTTCAGGACGCTCTCCTGACATGAAAGGTGCTGTGTAAATGCAGTTTGTTGTTGTTCTCTTCTTTCTAAAAGCAGATTGACAGCACAAAGCACAGTAGTACTGGACTAGAAGAATGGGGGAAAAAGTCTCCAGCTGTCCATAGATTTACTTACCTCGGTCAGCAAGTGCCCTTTACTCTGCACTAACGAATGCAAACATTATAATGCAAGGAATTATTACAGGCAAATGGAAAATCACCCCCTTCCCGCCCCATCTTTGTACTACAGTGCTTCAATAGACATTAAAGTGCCAAAGAGGAGAGTAAACACAATTAGCACACAAATCAGTAAAGTAACAAAACAATAATTAACAAAATTAGAAGGCTTTTTCTTTTAAAAACACACCTAATTCAAGTACATTTTTTGGGGTCCAATTGACTTAGCTTGCCCAGAATCTGAACAACTTCCCTACTCTAAACCTTTTGCAATGAACGCTAACTGCCGTTCGCCTTCTTAGTTGCTGCTGCACCTGTGAACTAACTTTTTGAGACTGGTGTACAAGGACACCCAAATCCCTCTGAACACTAACACTATCTAATCTCTCCCCCTCTAGAAAATAATCTGTTTTTCTATTTTTTCTACCCAGGTGAATAACTTCACACTTCCCCACATTAAATTCCATCTGCCCACTTGCCCACTCCCCGAGCCTATCTATATCCTGTGGCAATATTTTTGCATCATCCTCAGAGCTCACTCTCCCACCGAGTTTAGTGTCATCCGCGAATTTAGATACGTTACATTCGATGTCCTGGTCTGGATCATTGATGTAAATTGTAAATAGCTGAGGCCCAAACACTGATCCTTGTGGCACTCCACTAGTCACCTCCTGCCAATTCGAGAATGACCCGTTTATCCCTACTCTCTGTTTTCTACCCGTTAGCCCCTCTTCAATCCGTGCTAATATGTTCCCATTAATCCTGTGGGCCTTAACCTTGTGCAATAGCCTTTTGTGCGGCGCTTTGTCAGATGCCTTTTTAAAATCTAAATATACTACATCTACTGCCTCCCCCCTCTCTAACCTGCAGATACATCTTCAAAAAACTCTAAAGGATTAGTTAAGCGTGACTTCCCTTTGTAAAGCCGTGTTGACTGCCTACTCTTGTTATGGTCTTCCAGGAATCCCATAACGACATCCTTAATTAAGGACTCAAGAATTTTCCCTACCACTGATGTCAGACTAACTGGTCTATAGTTCCCCATCTTTTCTCTCCCACCCTTCTTAAATAGTGGTGTCACGTTTGCAATCTTCCAATCAATGGGAACCGGTCCAGGATCCAGAGAATTTTGGAAGATCAAAGACAAGCCATCCACTACCTCAGTCGCCACCTCTTTTAAAACCCTCAGATGTAGGCCATCAGGTCCAGGAGATTTATCAGTTTTAAGACCTGACAATTTACCTAAAACCATTTCTTTACTAATATTAATTCCTCCAAACTGCTCACTGACATTTTCTTCTTGGTTCCCCTCTATTCTTGGTAGGTTTTCAGTGTCTTCTAAGGTGAAGACAGTAGGAAAGTACTTGTTTAATGACTCTGCCATGTCTTTGTCCCCTACTGTAGTTCCCCCCGTCTCTGCTGTAGCCGACCCACATTTACCTTTGACAGCCTCTTCCTCTTTATATATTTATAAAAACTCTTGCAGTCTGTCTTTATGTTCTTCGCTACTTTGCCCTCATATTCCATTTTCTGCCTCTTAATCACTTTTTTGGTTCTCCTTTGTTGATCCCTAAAGTTCTCCCAATCCACAGGTTTACCACTCATCTTAGCTGTTTTATAGGCTTCTTCCTTTAACTTTATACTGTCCCTGACTGCTCTCGTTAGCCACGGTTGAGTTTACTAGGGGGAGAATTTTTGAGAGGCATTGCTTATTGATACATTGCATTCGCTCAGCACAACAAATTCTCAACATGTTGCTTGGGAGCATTCAAGATGTTAAGTGGCATTGTAACAACAAAAAGAATCTCAAGGAATACTCGATTTCAGATAGATTACAGACTGGAACATTTAATGAAATGCTATGGTTTGAACACCCATTGTGATATACTCCATTAAACACTTATTAATAGGACGATGGCATCTTTCTGCCAAAGAATTAATGAAGATGTTAAATCTAAAATGAGCAACAGGTTTACAAACGAGGTTACGTTTAAGTGATTTAAAAAAAATGAAATCTTCCATGCGTGAATGGCGACGCAAAAATTCACTCAGTGATGAATGGGACACTGGGAAACCAAGCTCAGTTAGTTCGTCTGAGTCAGAAAGTTGTGGCTTCAAGCCGTTGAAATCACTGTCTCGGCTTGGCATTCCAATACAGTGCTGTGGGAGGGCTGCACAGTCCTTCGAATGAGAAGTTAATTTGAGGTCTATCTGCCTGTTCAGGTGGATGTTAAAGATCCCATGGCAGTAGTTGAAAAGAGAGGGAGATCCTCCAAGTGTCTTAACCAACAATTTTCCCCAGATAAAATTGGTCATTTACATCATGGCTGTTTATGTGACATTGCTGTACACAAATTGTCTAGAAAATGAACAGTCCCTATAATTCATAGTAAATCCTGTGAGATCATCCCAACATGAAAGAGATCATCCCAACATGAAAGGTGCTACATCAACTGCAAGGATTATTTAGGACTATTTATTTGCAGTTCATCACTGATGCAGTCACAGCCGAGCAACACACAATCTCAACAATACTTAGATCATAAAGATTTAAGGTTTCAATTTCAAGATCCTCACTCTCACTTTCAAATCACTTCACGTCCTGGCACCTCCCCAACTCTACGATTTGTTCACACCCCACTCCACATCCTGCCGCCTCTGCTCGGATCTTCTACACGTCTCTCGGCCCTCTGATCCACTATTGGCGGCTGTGCTTTCCGTCAACGTGCCTCGTAAATCGAACTCCCTGCTTCATTCTCTTTGTCTTGCCCCCTCTTTGCCCATTCTCAAATAACACCTGGAGGATTTCCTCTTCAACCGACTCGGCATCAAACCACGTCGCTATTAAGCACTCCAAGATCCTACCCATGTTGAGGGTGCTGTACAAATGCAAGTTGTTGTTGTTGCATACAGTTTCACAATTTTGTTTTAAGCAATATCTTTTACAAGTTAGTGAAAAGCAATCAAAAGTTTCCAGATCCTTTTGTAAATACTTTTATTTAAGTACTGATAGCAAGAAAACACGGCCAGAGGCGATATTGGACTAAGCCTGAGAGAAGAGTGATGAATAGGTGAAGGGCAAAGGTTAATAGTGCAGGGCATCATCACAGCTGAAATGGAAAGTAGACATAGATAACATCAAGTGGTGCCTAGGTGATGAAGTGATTGGCTGTTCAACTCCTGTATATTAATAATAATCCTTGCATTTGATATTGCAAAGGATGGGACGATTAGGAGCTTTAGCAGTCTCGCAGTCTTGAGAAACATTAGGGATGAACTTTTTAAATATTAAACTAGACAAGGAGTGGGGAGACGGTGTTCAAGGGTGTGCTGTGGAGTTTGGGAAGAACAAGAGAGGAACGGTTAGAGGAGAAACAAGTTTAATGGCATTGACAAAATAACATAAAAGGTCTGGTGGAATGAGGTGAAAGTTTAACACCACAAGCAACAAAATGATCATTTATCAGACAACACACCTGCCCTGTATCCTTTGTAGGAATTCAAGAAGTAGAGGACCCTTCAAGATTTGGGAGCAACATTCAAGTCTTGAACAAATTAAATTTTGCAGAAATATAAGAGTTGTTGAGGGGAAAATAAGTTTGATAAAATGGAGGCATCTTCAGCAAAGGAGATGTCAGAGTTCCATTTGAGATCACAGGAGATTATCATTTCATTAGTTTAAGAGGGACTAAGAATCATCAAACGTATAATGCAATAGCTGTTAGCTGGACTTATGACAGCCATAAAGAAACAAGCTGAAAACAAGATACGTGTTGCCCAAATGAAGGGCATACAGACAGTCAAGACTGAGCCAATCCATGTGGAAGTTAAGGTGTGTGATTCAAAGAGAGCTGATATATATAGAGTGGATCATTCAGCAAAGTCATGGATAAGGTTGAATCAAATTATCTGTCATCCAGGGAGTTAATACCATAACTTTAGAAGTAAAGATATATTGGGCAATAATTAGGGATAAACAAGATCACCCTCCATGGGCAGAGAATAAACATAAGCAAAGTTCCAAGGAGAAAAAAAGATATCTGGTGATAGATTTATTGGAAAGTAGCACATTTGCTGGCACACACCTCTTGAGGGCAACAGGAGATGCATCACTGTGACCAAAGTATCCACATATCCCAATGCTTTACCATTGCTGGAACATTAATGGCCTAATTGTGAAAGGTAATTCTACATCAACAAAATTCTGAAGACACCACACTACAGACCCACAGATTGCCATTTAGGATGGAGACACAAGTGCGAGCTGCCGAATGCGCCTGGACCAAATCCAAACTAACGGTCCATCGGCAGATTTGGCTTCACCATACCAAGACCTACCGCTGCGCTCCTGCCTCCGCCGAATCCTCCTTCTACTCCAAGGTTATCTTGGAGGCAAAGGACAACCCCAGGCTTCTCATTTCTACCACTAACCGTTTTCTCCGTCATCCTTCCCATACCTCACCCATCCTCTCCTCAAACTCCAACTGTGAGGAGATGCTGGACTTCCTTGAATCTAAATCAAAAAACATGCTCCCCCTGTGGTGACATCATCCGCAGACATGGGGTCAACTTCCACATGTATGCGGATGACACCCAACTCTATCTTTCTGCCTCCACCCTCAACTCCAGGACCACTGCTGTCCTGA